TATTTCGAAACAAATTTAAAAGTCATTTCTTTGCTCCAGCGAAACGACATTATGGCGGCAACTAATGAACTCGACTAATTCGACAGGTTCGTACTTGTTTAGCCGGTGAACCAGTGAGCTCGGACGCGTGGTGGGGGCTGCTACTCGCCCAAAAAAATAGAATAAAATGGATTGACTCGACTAAATTACTTACTAAACAAATCGACTAAATTTTTAGTGTTCAGACACGTTTAGTTACTAAATTACTCGCTACTAGACTAAAATACTAGCTTAATGCGAACTGGGCTTAAAGCAAGTATTTTCATAAATAACCAACAATCCCAAATATGATATAGATCGCGAGTTGATTCTTGCTCTTATAGACCACATAACATAACGTGTGGGAAATCGAGATCATATAGACATATTACCTATATGTTATAGATTAGTACACAACACCGTGTGGCGCATTTAGTTAGGACAATACACTTGAATACGAACACGTGACATTCTTTGTTAATATCAATAATCTCATCAACTAAATATTAAATGTTGTACATTTAACTCTACCATATAACACAAATAATCTTATATAAAACTAGCGGCTTACCTTCTGTAAGTAACTCACCTAACAGTAGCCAATGTGTTACTTCGGTTCAGTCTGAGAGCTAAATTTTATCCAAATCTGTAAACCAATTCAGTAACAAAACACACACACAAACACGCACATACATACAGACACACGCATACACACACACACACACACACACACACGCATACACACAAACACATACAGACACACACACATTAATAAATAAAAATAATAAAAAGTAGCTACCTTAATTTATATTTTTAAATTGGTGTACATTTTTATATACAAGAATTATAGGAAGACTTACAACAGATTATATATTTACATAAATTCAAATAAACTAAGCAAAGAGGCTCTAGAGAGGTCGTCTAACCAGCCCTACATTTACGATACCCCCAAAAAAGTTCGATCAACCTGAGAAAGCCTCTGTTAAGAAATGTTTTTGATGCCTATGAATTTCCGGGTTTATGGTCATTGATCTACGTATATATAACTCTTTCAATAACTCTATCGAGCTTATAGTCTATTGTCAACATTAATTTTACACAAAAATCAATCCATATAACATCATCTATTGACGTTTAAATTAATTTCTTTTTGTATTTGTTTGTATTTGATTGATACGAATAAGCTATCTTGTTTCACTGGTTCAATATTAATTAACCTTTTTTTACAAGCCTTTATTTTTTATCTTGGCATAAGTAAGATAATTAGGAAATAAAAATAAAATAAGTTGGAAACGATCCATTTTTGATATTTGTTTCCAAAAATATAAATATTTCTTAGATTTTTCATACACCTCACTCACTGTCGTTATACAGTCATGAGTGAGTCAGATTTACTTCTCCAAGTAGTGAAATGGCGATTTATTTATGTTGGATGGGACAATGGCTTGAATTCTAAAATAAATTGGGCTGTAAATATAATTATTTACCTGTGAGTTTATGTTTATTCCTTAATATTGATATTCCAAAATGTAGTTTTTTTGTTTTAAATTTCATTAAACCATTTTCAAACAAAATGAAAGTAGTTTTTTCGCTTTTTAGAGTTCCGTACCCAAAGGATGAAAACGCAATAAACCACCGGTTTCGTAATAGTACTGAGCCTCCTCTGTCTGTCCGTCCGTCCATCTATCAGAGGGATCTGTATCTCATGAACCGTAATAGGTAAAGAGTTGACATTTTCACACAGTGTATTTCTATTGCCGCTATAACAACAAATGACGAATTTAACAATAAAAAACCAAGATGGCGAATTTAAAAAAGTCTGCTATGTAAATGTAAAAAAAAAACGATTATGGCACGGAACCCTTCGTGTGCGAGTCCGACTCGTTAGTTACTACAATAAAAACTTTCCTAGACCTTTCTTATAGTCAATAAAGCTTTTTAAAGAGAATAGATGGTATTTTGGGGCGTTCGTTTATCTGAGAATGAGAAGGCATGTTTACGAGTATATAATCCCGTAAAAAAATATATCATCTGCGTAAAAAATATTACTTGAGACTCATCTTTTTTGCTATATTATTTTAGTTTACATTACCTTGTACATATTTTTAACATTACACGTACAAATCAATTGTGATGACCTATCCATAAATAAATAAAAAAACAGTGATATATATATATATATATATATATATATATATGTGCGTGTGTGTGTACATTGTACATATATAGTAATAGAAGAAAATAAACACGGGACTGCATATTACGTAAAATTTTCTAAGAAGATTATTAAAAATAGTATGGAATTTCAAGTATTTATTTTTCCACTGCCTGATTCTTGGCTGTGGGCTCAGGAAACTAAAAAACTGTCATTTTTTATATGTTGGGACATTAACACACAGCGCCATCTAGTTCCATGGTAAGCTACGAGGCTTGTGTTATGGATACCAGATAGTTGATACACTACACATATATACCCCCAGCGGGACTCGAACCCGCGACCGCTGGCACAGCAAGTAGGGTCACTACAAACTGCGCCAATCATGTCGTCACATTTTGTGAATTATATACATACATCATAATATGAAGCTGGTATTTTTTTATCTTAATGAGCAAAGTGGACATATTACCAAATAAAGATTAGCTGTTTTTTTTCATCGCTTCATAGTGCTTTCGTCATAATATTACCTTTCTATATCCTGTAATTACATGTAAATGTATCGATGTTATCAGGAAAACTAGTTTAACCTACCATTAGGTAATAGCGCTACTAATTATTTTATAAATAAAATGTTATACATACATGGGGTTATTAAACAGGTTATTAGAATATATTAATAATTTACTAAAAATATTAAATGCCTATAGGAATCTTTGATGTGCCAGATCAATAAAATATCTATACAGATAAATAAAATCGAAGTGTTTGTTTGTAATATCAAAATAGCAGCTTTATACTAAATGCATATGAAATTTACTTATAAGAAAAACACAATTTTCAAAATATTTGTCTGTCTATCTGTCTTTTTGTCTATTTGTTCCGGCTAAAAATATAAACATTAAGGGGCGCACCCGAGCGAAGCGACGGTAATTCGCTGGTATTATACCTATAATATTTTAACCGACTACGAAAAGTAGGAGGTATTCTATTGTAATGTTTGTTTTTTTGTGTATGTATATTTGCTTGTTTGTTTTTTTTTGTGTATATTTAGCCAATTCTGAATATATTCTTAGTTATTATTACTAGTGGTGAATTAATTAATTATTTTTAAATTAAATTCAAAGAAGTTTTGCCTTTAAGGTAAAAAACCATTTAAACCAATCATCAGTACGTTATACGTTATTTATAAATAATCTTGAACATTTGTTTAGGTATGATTTATATTAGTTATATTTTCCTACTATGGTCAGTCAGTGAAGAGTGATTTGTACAACAAACTTGTAAAATCCATACTAATATGTGAAAATGTGTTTGTTTGTTTGTTTGTTTGTTTGTTTGTTTGTTTGTTTGTTTGTTTGTTTGTTTGTTTGTTTGTTTGTTTGTTTGTCCTTCTTTCACGACGAAACGGAGGGACGCATTTGCGTGTTTTTTGTGTGGAAATAGTTATATTTATAATAAATATAACTATTTCCACACAAAAATCACGCAAATGCGTATGCGTAAAATATAATATAGGGCTGGAGGGTGACATTGACTACTTTTTACTGCGGGAGATTATCTATTTCCCACGGGAAAACACGTCATAATACAATCCAAAAAAATATTTATGATCAGAATTACTTGAAACTTGGTATTAATGCTTTTCAATAAAATAAATACATGTATTAGCATTTTTCGAAATACATTCTATAAGGGGGTAAAATAGGGGATGAAAGTTTGTATAAAACTACTTTATTATTATTTTTTTGTAGTTTTAGCGCGAGTGAAGTCGCGGGTTCTGCTAGTATTCTATAAATTTTGATCTTTGTACTCAATAAATGTATTGTATTTGAATAATTTAGGATCGTTATATTAATATATTTTAATTTATTCTACATTGTTACATGTAATAAAATATCTAAAAATGTAGCAATCTCTTACAATAGTAAAAATATCAATATTTAAGACATAAATGAATGTTTTTGTATATGATTTGCTTTAAATTTTGAGTTAACTCTAATGGATGTTCAAATTACATTATCTGTACGCTCTTTCAAATTACACTACTCTTATATTGTGAACACCTAACTTAAAAATATTTGCGATTGTATGTATTGTATGTCTCTCTTTTAAAAAAAGAAATCAAAAAGTCAAAAAATATTTTATACACAATATATATATATATATATATATATATATATATATATATATATATATATATATATATATATATATATAATAAAAAATCCTGTATACACATAATAGACAAATTATACTCATAATACCTTTTATATAAATTAATGTTTAACTCTTAATAGGATTTGCAACAGTAACAATGTTTGTTTGTTTATAATGAGAGCTTTATTTCATGACGAATGTACCGACACAATTAATGTAAAGTACCGAAATGTAATAATTTCTGGGTCAAAGCCAATGTGCCATTTATCATCGCAAGGATAACTTTAAGCTCTACATAAATAAATCAATCATAAATTATAACTCTAACTAAAACTGAGCATTCATATGAAAATTTTAAGTTCAAAGGACTGTAGAACATTCGGGATTGAGGAAACAAGTATAGTGTTCCAGTTCCAAGTTTAACGGATGGCTTTTGAATGGGAGAGCGTGAGCTTTGTACGCTTGGCGAGGGAGAGTCGGTAGAGGGGATGCCACGCGTTGCCGCTCGCCGAGACCCGCTCTACACTCAGTTGTCAACCGACAGCGAAACGAGAAAGACGCGGCCGCTAGACCAGCGTGTTCTCAAAAACTTCACGCAACTTTGCAGTTGCCAGCGAACTAAGTGTTAGATTGCGTGCAAAGTGCTAGTGTTAGTGATGATATTTGTATGGAACAGTCTGCTTTGTCTCCTGGACGAGCGTTGATGTCAGAGGGGATGGAAGCAAAGGACCGGCTGGTGGAGGAGGTAGTGCTCCTAGCTCTATTCCTGGTATCCACTGCGGGCAACTCGCTAGCTCTCTTAGTGTTTTGTCGACGACCCGGGCTAAGGACTATATCAAATCGGTAAGTTTCTCATTTATAAAATAGGATGTTCTATTTAAAATAGCTTTTCAAGGTAGTCAACTTACCAAATGATGAAAAACTTATAACATCGTTCAAATATACCATTTGACTACATGTATAGATAGCAACATTGAAATTGGTTGTTAGAGAGAGTAGTCTATCGACTTGTGTATGCGGAATTCATAAAAAGTTATGCAGCTCGCGAGCGTTGTTGTGATAATAACAATTTATAAAATTAAATATATAATTGATATTTTTATTTAAATGTGAACTTGCATAAATGCAAAATGAAAGGAAACGACAGACCAATCTCTAGATTAAATAAAAGTACACTAATAAAGGACTTTAATAGTGATGAAACCTAAACATAACAATAATATTTACTTGAAAATGTTCAATTAACGTTTTTTTGTTACCAACATCCCTAGCACTTGGTTCACAGCCAAACCCCATATTATTATTAGATCATTAGTGTCGGTTGGTTCATCTACCTGCACTCTTTGTTTGTTTTTACATGCTTTTGTAATGCATGATTTATATACGTGTTCAAGTTAGTTTAAATAGTTCAATCGTAAGGTAAAATTGCAGTGCTCAATTTGTTTCGTCAGAATTGAGAAGGTCACGCGCATCGTCCGTTTACCATTCAGAGATACCAAATAAGAACCTCTAGTAACTGTAAAATGTAATTTGTAGATGAACTTAACTGGGTTGTATAAAACACGTAATAAATAAATCTTTCAAATCGTACAATTTAATATTAAGTTAAGTTAATTGCCATTATATATTTTAGCCAAAATATATTAATTGCCACAGTAAAATAAGATGTAGAAATTAAAAAAAACCCGTATCACACTTTCCTGGTGCGTAATGATAAATGATCTAAGAGGCGTTATATTTTAAAAAGATAATCCTCTAAAGATTATAGTAAGCTGGAATTATTCATCATTTTTAGAGCTATCTAAATCGCTAAGATTATAGTGAAATTCCTGTTATTAAGAGTTTATAGAAAACGCTTCGTTCTATCGATTTCTTGCAAAACAATATAAAATTTTACGGTAACCATTAGTGTTAATATTTATACATAATCCATGTATTGATTGCTTCAATTGGCAATGCCAAAACGGAAAGAGAAATACTTAGATAAATACGTCTTTCTAACCTTTGATATTGACAGTTAAAACAAATTACAGCTAAATTTTAAATTAGCGATGTTTTATTTACCTGGCAGATATTTTTAGACGTTTTACGTTTTGCAACATAGATTTATAGTTGCCTAGATATTAGTAGAAAGATCACAGGAGACGAGTGCGATGTCCCACATAGCGGTAGTCACTCAATTGGGCATCGTAAAATAAAACAAGCAATTAATTGTATGAATTATCTCTCTCAAATGTTAACGGCTGATGAAAATGTTAGTAATATTTGTTATATAACTGTCTATTGGTAATATTTAACCATAAACGAGTGACCTCTGGAAATTAACTAATATAGTATGAATAAGAGAGTCAATCAGTTAGTACATAAATAACATATTAAAAATTTATTTTAAATTAGTTAAAGTAATATATTTTAATCAAAACCCATTTCGCAATAATATCAAGCGAGCCATAGACATACAAGACGACAGTAAATGATCTTGAATGGCTATCGGTGTGGAAAATAACTTCGAACAGGCCTTTACCCCGCATTAATATGCGATATATATACATACAAATGAGGAAAGGTAAACAAAACATAAAAGTTGGCACGTAATAAGTAGACCAATTCCCAAAGTACTCACAATGGCCCCTGTGACATAATATTATCATGTGATGAACATATGTATTATGGTAATGAGTATCGTTAATCACTTTCTATGTTAACGGTCTTTGAACTGATAATTATATATTTTAACACTAACTTCTTTAACCATGTTAATTGTTAATTGAAAAAGCCAATATATCTAGCAATGGCTAGAACTACTCTACATCTCATTGTATACACTCTACATGCATATCTTTGCTCTATTTCCATATCAAGATATATTTGGCTATTAAAACTTATAATTTGTAGAATAACTTATCAGTCCTTAGTAACAAAATTTACCTCATAAAACTATATTTGGATGGCGTAAACGTATCCTTTTATCCTACGTATGAATCATTGTTTCCTGTGTCTACTGGTTACACGGCAATTGCCAGCTAAATAGCCGTGGGTAGATGATTTTCCATTTCATTTGATCTGACAAACCAATTGAAATACAATAAATATAGGATTAAGCTTATAAAAGACACATGCTTTCAAAGACTGTAAATGAATTTGTGATTCTCGGTCATGATAATTAAGTTCTTTTAAAGATCAAATTGGTCAAGTTGTAAACATTTTTTATTAGTTTTTATTTTGTTTCACAAAAGGTGAATGTAAGCATGTCGTTAATTGAAAAAAGTCTGTGACAAATTATGAATTAAAATCTATTGATTTTATCTTTTTTTAACAAAAGTTTTTATTTTTTTATTTTGTGAAGTCTGAGAAACTTGTCACCACTCATTCATACTGATACCATCAATTAGATACTCTCAATCGCGATATTGGACGTTTCTTTAAGTATATTATTTTATTATATTTCATCTTGCTTGTTAAGAAATAGATAACACATAAAAATACAATAAGTTTTAATTATATACGTACTCGTATGTATTATATTAAAAATCATTATATTACTGTCTAATTACTCTTATCAATATCAAACGCACGACATTCATGAGATAAATAAAAAAAATGAATTTAAAATGTCAAAAAAATCATTTAAATACACACATAGGTACATAGGTATTATACATTTACGTATGTATGTAATATTTATCCTTATCTTACTTCTACTTGTAGTAGTAAAATCCATTCATATTTTCAAAGAATATTTCTATTTATAACATATTTGTCATCTTGAATGTAGTTAGTGCTTATCGATAAGTCATGAATTGTCAAAATATTTATTTCCATTTAGCGTACAAAAATAAATTGATGTAATCGTATAGTTTCACAAGATTATGACTTAAATCAAAATAGCCACAAGTTACATTAGATTACTCGGATTCTTGCGAAAAAAAGAAACTTAACTGTTTCTTCAAACAATTGTGTGTATGCAACTATGTGTTAACAGTTACTGTACTATAACATTTTATGGCACTATAATTTACTTGCAAGTATCATAAAATATAATTAAAAAACAAATGTAAGACTAACTTTTTTTATAATATATGACGAAAATGATCTTTCCTTATTTTGCCAGAATCCTTTTAAAAATGTCAAAAAAAAACTGACAGCTGTCAGGTGAACTATTTTATGTCTACGTCTTTAAACTATGTCGATAACATGTTTCAAATATAGAAAAATTAGAATGTTTTAAAAAGATTAGCTAATACAATAAATATCATAACGAAACTCAACAACAGGAATAGTTTACGAGCGATTATTAAGTAACTACAATTGTTGTCGTCTTGCTAAATTTAGTTAAATACTTATTAATTTGTACACTATTGCGATAATTGGTTTCATAATTGGAGATTAATCACGTCAAAACGTATAAAAATGTGCCTGCATTCTATTGATCAATGTAATAATCTTATCTTGTGGAAGAATACTTACCTATTATTACAATAAATTCCAAGTTAGATAGTAACATATGGTAAAATGCAAACTTTTTGCGATTTCAAACAGATAATCTATAATATTAGATAAAGAAATTGTTTTTGTAAATACTAAGATGGAGTACAACAAAGTTGGCACTAATATTTTACAAATAAAATGTTAATTCATTGCATATTATATATCCACTATAATGTTAGAGAAAAATATTCAAGGGTGTAGCCATTCACTGCTCAAGTAGTATAGTCTTTCACGACCGCTAAAAATTAAAATTGTAAAAATTAAAATTTAACCTTCGAAAAGTTAAAAAGGATGTCGATATCAGAATTTTCCATAAAACAGGCGAAATCAAGGAACCTCCTAGTATAATAAGCATACTGTTAATGGAATAACCCAAAAGATCAACACGTCATGGTATCATAGCTCGAGTTAATACTTGTTTACCGTCTAGCAATACTTTTTGTAAATACACTTAAGTCTTTCTAGAAATAGGTGATCTAGTTGTGGCAAGTGACTGCTTTTGTTGGCATTTTTTCCATTATACGTAAATGTACTTTTGTTTTTGTATCTTTTTTTAGAGAAAAATTTTAATCAAATATAAAAAAAGATATTAAATATATAAGTTTTTTATCTATGTATTTACAATGCGAGAGTATGCCGGTCAAAAATTAGTTTCCCAAAACTAAAAGCGTTTTTACTACAAACTCATTACTGATGTTAAAAATAAAAATCATTAATATATTGTACCACTTTACAATTTAACAATCAAAAAAATATATTTAAAGCAATCATATTTTCTCTAACCTAAAGACATAATTAACTATAAAGTAGTTATCACATTAGAAGAGCGACTAATTTTTAACCCTGACACGTTATTTATTGGTAATTTCAAACAATCCTAATACGAATTTAATCGATTTTAAATAATTAATTTTGATATTTTAAACGATAATTGGCATACAGATAGATTTCTAATACCAAAAATAGAAAATAATTCTTGCAAAGTCACCTAAATACTGCTATTCAATTGCTGTGCAACGAGATAATTTATGTAAGCGAACTAAGATTGATTGGCGTATTGTTCAGTGATTGAACAAAAATACAGATTTATAAACTGTATATGTAGATAACACGATAGTTATTTATAATATATTATTAGAAAAGAATAAAATGACAACATTGCATACCGCACAGAGAAAGTTCTTCGCAGACGGATAGAGTCGCAAGCAGCGGTAAGGCGCGAAAATTTTCCACCCGATATTCAAGAAATTGAGGTCGCCACAAATAAGGCCAATACAGATTAAATAATAACAATTAAACTAATTTAATACAGATAATAATATAATAGAAAGAGCAATAAACAAAATGAGATTGAA